CTATCAAAGGTAACTTAGTAAGTAAGCAAGTAGTCAGTCAGTCAGATGCAACGTAGAACTTGGTACGTAAGTACATTAGTTCATGTTGCCATACCACATCAGGACAGAGATGTAATTGTCAATTCAAATCCAATAATAGTAGAAGAGGTAGTAAAGGTATTAGAAGTAATCACAGAGGTTAGGATTAGAAGATACTATTCAAGAAGTATGATTCAGTGAGAAAAGTTTAGAGAGTCGAAACTAGAGTTGTTGAAGAATCCAGAAGATTAGGATTTGAGAGAACACAAAGAATAAATGCACTGGCGCCATTGCGAACGATTTTGAGCCATGTCATTCAAGGTCTCTAACCACCGATTATTATCATCTCGCGGACCTCAACCAGGTAGTCGACAATTACCGACATGGCTCAGTCCACTTGTCAATGACTTCATGGATTTCTGCCATCTTTCGGTTTGGCCGCCCCTAGCTTTCTTCCAACCTATTCCTACACTACAAAACAAAGCTCGACGAAGCGGTCGGTGGTTAGGCATACGCAACACGTGTCCCAACCACCTCAACTGATGAAGTTTCATTACTTCATCGATTGATCTGCCATTCTGAACTAGCACCCGTTTCCTAATAACAGTTTTGCTCACTCGGTTGTCCCTCGATATACGAGCAATGCTTCGAAGACACCGATGATCGGAAACCAATAACCGACGAATATCTTCTACTCTCACTGGCCTTGTTTCACAGCCATAAAGTAAGACGGAGAGAACTGCTGCACAGTACACTCGTCCTTTAGTCAGGAAACGGATATCTCGACTACGCCATAGGTGACGCAGGTTGGCAAAAGCCAATCGAGCCTTCTGTATCCGAGCTGAGATTTCGTCAGTCACCAGGCCATTGGCACTGATGAGACTACCGAGATAAGTGAAGCCGTCTACACGTTCGACTACTTCACTCCCTATCACTAGTTCAGGTGCCGATGCATCCCAGTCTTGAAGTAGTAAGCAAGTAAGTAGGTAAGTAAGTAGGTAAGTTGGTAAGTAAGTAAGTAAGTAAGTAAGTAAGTAAGTAAGTAAATAAGTAAGTAAGTAAGTAAGTAAGTAAATAAGTAAGTAAGTAAGTAAGTAAGTAGGTAAGCTAATATACATTTCAGTACATTGATAATCAACAACTTGGTCTACAATTGCACTAATATGATTTATTCAAGGCACTATTTTCTGATTTATAAAATCGTAAAAGTAATAACCATTAAAATTTTATTTATTGTACTGTTTAACTTTCTATTAGATAAAATTTAAAATGTAAACACCTGTGAATTTTAAAACAAATAAAGAAATACTGAATAAATTTAATAAAAAATATATATATTGTGTAAACTTATACAATACAGATTAAAAAAAACAATATCTATTTTTCTAATGAATAACGTTTTTGAAAACAAATAACCGGAACTATACAACCATCAGCAGTAGTAGTAGTAGTAGTAGTAGTAGTAGTAGTAGTAGTAGTAGTAGTAGTAGTAGTAGTAGTAGTAGTAGTAGTAGTAGTAGTAGTAGTAGTAGTAGTAGTAGTAGTAGTAGTAGTAGTAGTAGTAGTAGTAGTAGTAGTAGTAGTAGTAGTAGTAGTAGTAGTAGTAGTAGTAGTAGTAGTAGTAGTAGTAGTAGTAGTAGTAGTAGTAGTAGTAGTAGTAGTAGTAGTAGTAGTAGTAGTAGTAGTAGTAGTAGTAGTAGTAGTAGTAGTAGTAGTAGTAGTAGTAGTAGTAGTAGTAGTAGTAGTAGTAGTAGTAGTAGTAGTAGTAGTAGTAGTAGTAGTAGTAGTAGTAGTAGTAGTAGTAGTAGTAGTAGTAGTAGTAGTAGTAGTAGTAGTAGTAGTAGTAGTAGTAGTAGTAGTAGTAGTAGTAGTAGTAGTAGTAGTAGTAGTAGTAGTAGTAGTAGTAGTAGTAGTAGTAGTAGTAGTAGTAGTAGTAGTAGTAGTAGTAGTAGTAGTAGTAGTAGTAGTAGTAGTAGTAGTAGTAGTAGTAGTAGTAGTAGTAGTAGTAGTAGTAGTAGTAGTAGTAGTAGTAGTAGTAGTAGTAGTAGTAGTAGTAGTAGTAGTAGTAGTAGTAGTAGTAGTAGTAGTAGTAGTAGTAGTAGTAGTAGTAGTAGTAGTAGTAGTAGTAGTAGTAGTAGTAGTAGTAGTAGTAGTAGTAGTAGTAGTAGTAGTAGTAGTAGTAGTAGTAGTAGTAGTAGTAGTAGTAGTAGTAGTAGTAGTAGTAGTAGTAGTAGTAGTAGTAGTAGTAGTAGTAGTAGTAGTAGTAGTAGTAGTAGTAGTAGTAGTAGTAGTAGTAGTAGTAGTAGTAGTAGTAGTAGTAGTAGTAGTAGTAGTAGTAGTAGTAGTAGTAGTAGTAGTAGTAGTAGTAGTAGTAGTAGTAGTAGTAGTAGTAGTAGTAGTAGTAGTAGTAGTAGTAGTAGTAGTAGTAGTAGTAGTAGTAGTAGTAGTAGTAGTAGTAGTAGTAGTAGTAGTAGTAGTAGTAGTAGTAGTAGTAGTAGTAGTAGTAGTAGTAGTAGTAGTATTTCGATTGTAGTTAACATTACAGTCGAGTAGATGCATTTCAGTCTACTTGGAATTCGTCAGCTGGATTCATTTGAATCACGATATTGATATTTATACTACTGTAACTCGAAATTATTATCTTTCACTTCAAAATCAGTCAGTCAGTCAGTTACAATGTAGAACTTCGTATATACGTACCTACGTCAATTCAGGTTACCATAACACATTAGCACTGAGACGCAAAAGTCACTACAAATCCCCTAGTGGTAATGAAAAAAATTAGGGTTTGAAGATATGATTCAAGAAGTATAATTCAGTAAGATAAATTTAGAAAGAGAAAGGTTACTAGTAGGTTACTAGTATTCGATCATAGATGTTTAAGAAGCATTGCTCGTGTATCCTGAGACACCCGTATAAGCAATGCTGTCGTTAGGAAAGGATGGCAGATCTATTGATGAAGTGGTGAAACTTCATCAGTTGAGGTGACTGAGACATGTGGTACGTATGCCCAACCACCGACTGCCTCGACGAACTATGTTTTGTGGTGTAGGAGTAGGTTGGAAGGCTAGGGGTGGCCAAACCAAAAGATGGCACAAATCAATGAAGTCACTGACAAGTGGACTGAGTCATGTTGGTAGATGTAGACTACCTGGTTGAGGTCCGTGAGACGAAAGTCATCAATGGTTAGAGACCTCGAACGACATGGCTCAAAATCGTTTGCAATGGCGCAAGTGCATCCATTCTTTGAGCTCTCTCAAATACTAATCTTCTCTACCTTTGTCTTTCTAACCTTATCACACTGAATTATACTTCTTGAATAATATCTTCGAACCTTAGTCTTCTTCATTACCATTAATACCTTCTCTACAATCTCTATCACTATGGGATTTGATTTGACATTTGCGTCTCTGTGCTAATAATGTGGTATGGTAACATGAACTTATGTACATACGTACGAAGTTCTACGTTGCAACTGACTGACTGAGAAAGAGAAAGGTAGAGGTGATGACGAATTCAGAAGATATGGATATCATAGAACACAAAGAGTGGATGCACCTGCACCATTGCAAACGATTTTCAGCCATATCATTCCTGCTCTCTAATCATCGGTCGCCATCGTCTAGCGGACCTCGACCAGGTAGTCTATGTCTACCAACATGACTCAGTCCACTTGTCAGTGATTTCATGGATTTCTGCCATGTTTTGGTTTGACCGCTACTAGCTTTCTTCCAATCTACCCATACACCACAAAACATCGCTAGTCGAGGCAGTTGGTGGTTGGGCATTCGTAACATATGTCCTAACCACCTCAACTGATGAAGTTTCGATACTTCATGAAAATATAAACAAGTTATCCAATGAGCTACCAAGTTCAGATAGGCATTTGCTTGTTGTTCAATGTATATGATTGTATTTACATGTATATTTTGTTCTATATGCATTCTGAGCAAGTTGTCATGACCACTGGAGTTCAACCATGTCGGGTGTAGGTAAAAACTACTTTAGACAGATGAGTGAGGTCGCGCAAAATCCCTAGAACGATCAGAGTTCGACATGAACACCGCCGAATGCCGGCCGGCCCAGTGTTCCAGAAGTTAGGCGTCCGCGCGCAAGCCCGAATCGTGTGAGTAGCAGGAGTCATGGCTTTGCACTATTGATGGGTCCCGAAACAGCCGTCCACTGCTTCCAAGTTTCTAACGTTGGTCTAGCAATGATTAAGTCACATTTCAGTAATGTCTTTATATAGCCATTTGTGATTAAGAGGCAATTCGTTGAAGACGTATAGATTAATGGTAACAGAGGTTGTAAATTCTCAGTTTCCCAAAACTTTGTTTTGATCATGTCCAACTCTCTCTCTATCTCTCTCTACAACTATCTCTCTGCGTGTACCAGCTGATGAGTATATTGTGACAAATTACATGAAGGCATGTTTCTATCAAATCTTATAATGTTTGTTTACGTCTAAGTGACCTTAGATTTATTGAAATACTGAGTCATTCTCTCTTTGTCTGTGTAGTTTTAAAACAGGTAGAACACAAATATCATCTATGTAGATGACATTTTGTCTAGTTCATAAAAACAATTTTGTTGATTCTAACAAAAATTAATTGTATTATTGACGTTCACATTATGCCACTTAAAAAGATAAACCAATTAACCTGTGTTTGTTTTTTTAAATATTGTTCAATGTTGAAGGAAAATATAACTCTTGTTTAACTAGATCAATTCATCAACTCAACAATATTTTAAGAGTTTATTTAAAAAAAATTCTATCAAGTAGTTTATTGAAAACTATTGATTATTTGATTTTAAGCATTTAAATGTACCTCATAAAGAGTACTTCAATGAATGTGCATAACAGAGAAACAGAGAGAGAGAGAGAGAAATTGGATACTTGAGAATGATAATCACTTGTAAATGTTATTTTACTTATCGATAAATCAATAATCGACTGAAATCTCTTTTTTACACTCATTAGAATGGAGAAATCTACTACATAGTAAAGCTGAATGTTATTCTCAGTTGAAGCTTTGGAGATTTGTGTTTTTACACATTTGAAATCATCAGTCAGTCATTGTTAGACCGGACAGAGCAGGTTGTAGAATGCTGGTCAGCGGTCTATGCTCCATTGGGAGTAACAGGCATGAGTAAGTAAGTAAGTAAGCGGATTATCATAAGCTTTCAGTTAATCCAAAAACTAAGATCATACAATTTACTGTACTTATTTTGACTCCAGTTTATCATATTTTCTGTCTCTCTAACACACAGTCACTTTTTTGTCTCATTCATATATTGAAATCATGAATCGATCAGTGTGAGACCACTATTAGAAACCTGGAAGCACTGCACGGCTGTTTTGTCCTAGTATGGAATTCCGTGAGGGCGTTTCTCCGAGTTCTAGGAAGAAGTCGTGACCAGTGGAGTTCAGCCTTGTTCTGGTGTGAAGTAGTACTCAACGCAGATAGTAGATAAGGTTGAGCAAGACCGTGAATTGATCGAAGTTAGACTTTAACGCCGACTCAGTGACCCACAGGTTAAGCGTACGCACGCAAGAATGAAAGCTTTCAGTTCGAATCCTGTAAGTTGTAGAAGTCCTGGATGCGCAATCCTGACGGGTCCTAAACCAGAACGAAACGGCCATACATTGCTTCCAGGTTTCTGTTGGTGGTCTAACATTGATCGATTCATGATTTCAACAAAGTAAGTCAACATTCTCTGACTCAGTCAAGTATGCCTAGACATAAACCACATTTAACTGAAATAGATTATTTGTATAATGGAGGTTGGTTAAGGATTTCTGGACTCAACAGGCTAGGCAGAGAGAGAATTATAGAACTGTCGGAACTTAGCTACTGAGTGAAAATTGTTAGTGCGAAACCCTATCCGAATTGGTATTTCTTTCACATAATACTAAAGACACAATAGTATTCAGTTCATAGGAATCGTTCCTGGTGATTTCATTGAACTATTCAACAATAAAGGTGACTGAATGCAAAGTACTATTTGCATAACCTCACAATATATATATATATACATATATATACATATATATATATATATATATATATATATATATACTGATATAAATAGTAGAAAGACCTTCGTTTTCATTTATATTTCTAACAACAGACCAGTCAGATTTGATTAAATAACTTTCATTAGAGTTATGGAGATTAGAGTTTTTTACACATTTGAAATCATTAATCAATCATTGTTAGACCACCATCAGAAACCCACAAGCACTGGATGGCCATTTCGTCCTGGTATGGGACTCATCAGCAATGCGCATCCATGACTCATGCACCTCGTGGGATTCGAAACCGGGACCTTCGGTATTATGCGCGAACGCCTAACCTATGGACCACTTGGCCGGCATCCAACGGTGTTAATGTCTAACTCTGATTGATCTAAGTATTTTGCGCCACCTCACCCATTTGTCTTTGGTAGTTACTGCCTACATTTTCGACAGTTCGCTTGACATTGGAAATTTCAGTGATCTACATAGTATAGAATGAATAGTACACAGAATTTGTACAGTACTTAGAAGGTTTAAAATGATAAGAACAATCGAAAACATTTTTTATCATCGTAGAGTTAAAATTAAATAACGATAATCTTAAGCGTATTAAAGGATCAAATTGTTTATGGCGCTCAAATTAATTTTATATTATTTAAACACATAATTATTGGTACAAAGAGTCATCTACATATTTTTACGCCATAAAATGAACTGAGATGCTGTCCAGATGCATAAACTGAACTGTTGTAGTCGGTAATGAACAGTAGTTTCTTACACCATCAATGGCATTCCGATATATGAGTTTTGCTCACCACAAGATTCGAGCCTAAGAACTTCGGTCTTCATAACTCTCCGATGAAATATCTTGCCTGTTTCAACTGATAATAAGTAGTATATGTTCATTAGTAAGCATAAAACTTCATTCTGATTTTATTTCAGTTCTTTTAGTTAGTACTACAATCTGTTTATTTCAACTTAATGTACTGTTTATTATTATTATTATTATTATCATTATTACGTAAACAAACGAAAATCAAACCTTGTTCAATTTTCACACACAATCATAATTCTAATCGTAACCATATAAAGAAAACGTCGATTATGTCAACATTGTTCACAGTGTGTAATTCTATGGCAAGTTTACAATATGTACATACTTAATATTACGTAAGAATGGTTATATCATATTTCACAATAAATAGAAAACATTGTGTCTGATATTTGTACATGAAATGTTTGTTGTTGCTGTTTCTGAATCATGAATAAATCGATTGGGATATCTGATGTTTACATTAAAGAATTTAAGTTAAGTCAGTAAGTAGTGTTGATTGTATAAGAGAAGAGAGCTAGTTAGTTGATTTGGGCAAGAAATTTAACCAATATGAAGTGAAACATGTTTTGAAAATTAACAGACAGACTGTGGTGTGAGCTACTTATAAGTAGTATATGACGTGAGTGTCAACGTAATGTCTGTCAGCAGAAGATTGGGGAAGATCAAGAAAGGATGATTGGGAACACAATGGAATTTGTATGAAAG